TCTCTCATTGCTATGATACGACAGCAATGTTTTTACAATTGCTTTAACAATAATTATTACCTTTTAGTAATAATATAATTATTATCCTTTCTCTCTTAATTAATTAATTAATTAATTAATTAATTGGTTGATTTTTAATATTTAGACGTATCAATAGCAGCACAAAGGCACACACATGCACACACAGACGCACACACACGCACGCAAACACAAAGATGGGGATCTCGACGCATTTCAATCCACTCATTGCATCAACTGGACCAATCGAATTTACCACTACACACAACATCTTCCGACTTTTAAACCTTTTATAGTTCCAATTTCACATATTTAAAAAATTAATATCGAATGATAAAAAATTAATGTAAGAATGGGCAAAAAAAGTTGAATAATCTTCTAGAATTGTTACTTAAGCATGATAGTAAATTCTGTTCAAAGCTTACTTTAACGATATGTTAACTGCGTTTTTTGAGAAGTTTGATTCGGTGAGTGTCAATGCTGCACTTGTCGATGTGTTATAACATTTTTTGGAAATTTCCAATGAAAAAACATTTTTTCAGCGACAATTGAATTCTGTGACAATTTTATTATGCTTCGACAAGAAAAAAATTGTTTAACCAAGGAAATGAAATTTAACGAAACAAAAAATTGTTATAAAACTAAAAGTTATAAAATATTTTCACATATTTTCCAACAAATACCTACAATACACACATTTTACTTAAACCTATATATTTATTCATATATAATTTATACATTATATATTCAGAAAGAGAAAGCGAGAGAGAGAGAGAGAGAGAGAGAGAAAGAGAGGAGATAGAAAAATAACATTTGACGCGTGAGCAGACGAATGTTTCCACGTCAAACATTAAAGCATCCGTATTTATCGAATCTGAAACCAAGTGGAAGTGGAAAAAGTGTCACGGGAGGGATCTTAAGGATCAGAGGGATGGAAAAACAACGCGACGTTGACTGAATTATTGAATGATTTTGCTGACATTTTTGGTCAAATTTTCAAATTTGTCCCTTGAATTATTTAGTAAGGGGTCATCCTTTACAAATGTTTCGAAAAATATGTCATCGAAGTTTCTGATGTTCTGTTAATTACGATTTTATTGGTAATTTTCAAAATCAGTGGAACTTGTGCTGATGATTTGAAAATGTATTCCATATTTTTTAAAGATGTTTTTTAATGAAAATATAAGATACGTCTCGATTGTAGGTTACACATTTGTAAAGTAGTCTCTTTGTTAACAGTCTGTCAGTATTTATTAAAACACCGTAACGTATTCAAGAAACGAATATCATCATTGTAAATAACCACCAAATACTAAACAATCGACTCAACCAACAGCCAATCAGCCAACAGCCGATCAGCCAACAGCCAATCAGCCAACAGCCGATCAGCCAGCAGCCAATCAACCAACAGCCAACCAACCAATAGCCAACCAATCAACAACAAACCAACCAACCAACCCACAGGCAATCAACCAACAACCAGTTAACTAACCAATCCATGGATTCTGAGCAGCAGAAAGTTGATGGTGACGTTGACGGGTTTGGAGTTATCAAGGACCGCCCTGGCTACTGGGTCGTAGTTGTGGAACAAGTAGATCAACAACTTCTCCTCGTTAGATGGAGCACGGAATGAAAAATTGCCTTGCAAATGAGTTGTGATGAATATTTAGCTTACTTATTCCAGTAGATAAAGAAAGAGAGAGAGACGGATAGAAAGAGAGAAATAGAGAGATAGAGAGAGCAAATATGATAAATAAGCGAAGTAACATATAGAAATAAACAATAAGTTCACATTATGCAACAACATATGTATATATACTTTAAAACATAAGATATATACTTTAAAACATACATAAGATATATACTTTAAAACATACAACAAGTTTAAACTTATATACGATGTATTGTTATAAATATTGAATCGTTAAATAGATGAAATATAATGCAATATAAAATGGAAATAAAGAAGCAAGCGTATAATGGAGAAAGAGAGCGAGAGAGAGTTTTGATATACGGACGGAGGTGAATGAAAATTTGTGAATAACAAACCGTCAGAAAACTAGGATTTAAGTGTTTGTAATTACGAATTATGCTTGAAGAAAAATTCAATATTTTAAAATTGAAATAATTGTTATGTTAAAATTTTTCAAACAATAAAAAAATACTTCTTCCAATTCAAACTCAACATCAAGAAGCTTAGTGGGAAATACTTTTGCAAAATATCAAACAAATTTTAAATAAAGACTTCAAATAAGCAAGGACGGACAGCAAAAACCATCGTGAGTGACTTATGAAAAATAAATGGTAACAATGAGTCACGAGGGCCAGCAGGCAACTCTTACATTTGTTCAAAAAATATAAATCAAAATTATAGATAACAAACATGAACCAACAAACAAAACTAAAAGAATATGGAAATATGGGCAACAAAAACAATGAAACGAAAAACATAAACGACCAAAGATTCAAAGTAACAAACAAACAAGAACAGCCAAAGACACAAAATAACAAACAAACAAGAACAACCAAAGACACAAAATAATAAACAAATATGAACAACAAAAGACACAAAATAACATACAAATATGAACAACCAAAGAAACAAAATAGCT